ATAATGGGGGTAAAGGGGGTACCCCCCTTTGTACCTACCTTACAGCTGGAAATCATCCAAACTGTCGTTTTGATTATCCTGGTTGTAACGATTGGCCGGTTTTAATGGCATCCTAACAAGTTCACTGTCCTTTGAATGAGGGTTGTAGATTCTCACAACAAGATCGATAAAAGTTTCAATTTTTTCTTCAACACACAAATATTTCCTTCTGGTTCAAAATTCTTCAAGTATGTTGAATATAGGCTTTTTGTGGTGCCAGACCTGGGTAGGGAGCGTTTTAATGCACCCCAAGTTGACTCGATGGTGTTTGTATGTGCCCCGGTCTCGGGGTCCTTGAAATTTATGGAATGATTTACTTTTAGGTGATTAAAGTCTTCCTCTTTGAGACAGTCATATGCTTTCCAGCAATCACTAATAATAGTGGTTCCGGGTTTCATGAATTTTAATATCAGTGGAATCAAAGTTTCTGAATTTCTGTGTTCCACACAAGCAAAGAAACACTGTTTTGTGTCCCTGTCAATGCCTCCAAAGACCCACTGTCCCTCTACCCTCTTTCCCCTATTAAATTTCCTCTTTCCAAATTTTGACTCATCTATTTCTACTACGTGTGCCACACCACCTATCTGTTCACTGTCCTCATCAACAATGCAGACACATACTTCCCTGCACAAGTTGTACCAGTCCACAGATGTACTCCCAGACACAATGTCTAATTCTCTACGCACAAAATCTTGTGGCAATTTATACACCCAACAGTATGTCAACAAAAGTAGTGTTCCCAATTCTAATTTACTGTTTTCAAAGAAAGAATCGTGCCTTATAGAAAATTTCCTACCACAAGTTTTCCTTGAACATTTCCAGCATCTGCCATCTTTCCCGTAAGATTTGTCCATGCACAAATAATATTTTCCAACACCACACCTACTACAAATTTTGCCTTCCCAGTTACCAAAAAGTCCCTTTCTTCTTAAAAAACGTATTAGTTCCTCGTGATTTCTTGCTATTTCATAGACATCCCAAATTTTCATTTTGTGTCTGACATAACGCTCGTCCGAACTTTCCATATTAGGAACGTGTTATTGTATTACGTCATTAGAAATCAACCAATCAAAAAACACTTACCATCAGAGTGTTCCCACGCTGTAGAGTTCGTTTTCCCAGCATGCATTTGAATAAAATTTCAACACACGATTACTTTTTACTCTGTTTACGTCAGTGAACGCTGTTAAAATCCCCAGTTTAGGTTTCCTAAACCGGAAGTAAGGTGAGGAATTCGATTTTAACCTTATTTTTTACCTTAAATTCGTATTTTTATTGGATCGCTGGCAGGCTCGCGCTCTCTGTTTCTTCTATATACAGGAGCCTCACGCGCACAATAGAATGTATATAATTAGGTATCCGGTATTCTGTAAGTGTACCATAAAATATACTCAGCATTACAAGAAAGGTTACACTTTCATTGCATGTTGGTAATTAAGTTTGTGTAGTTTTGAACACAAGAGGATCCTGGCTAGAACTGATCAACAGCAGCCAAGTCTTGCCAAATGAGGCGACTGAAGGGGTGGTCGCCTTAGATTTTGCGTGTTATCCCATTCCAATTGTGTACATAAAGATGCTCACTATGTCAATTACTGGATTGTCTGGTCAAAATTAGATCATTTACAGACCGCCGTTAGATGCCAGAAATAATATTGAATGCGGCGTTATGCAAGAAACAAATGCACAGAGGATAAGAAATGTGTTGTTCCTTTGCAAGGACTGTGTGGCGGAAATCAGGAAAATGGCTGAATATCTCGATCGCCCCCTTCCTGAAGAAAGGTATCGGGCGATAGCTGAAGCATGTTCCTTTAAGAATCTCAAAGAGGCCAGTGAGAAGATCAAGGACCAGACTTACCATGTCCCCTGGGAGGAGGGAACACGAGGCTATTTCAGAAAAGGTTATTGTGATTAAAATATAAAACAAGATGACTGAGATTCTGCTTGTCAGCCGATACTAATAATGCAGTCAAGTTATGGCGAGGTGAAATACGTGTTTGGGTATGAGTTAAAAGTTTGACTGGTTTGACTAGCCGCTACGAAATGAAATACATCTGTTGGCAGATGTTATATGGTCTCAAATGTGTAGGTCGAGCATTTGTAGTAAACGAACTATTGAGTTTTGTGTTTTGTGTAATTGTACTTTGAACTTTGAACATTATTTGCCAAGATGAGGGAACTCCTGTAGGATTGGCATGCCTGACGTTTGTCAGTTTGGATAAACATATTAACACGGATATCGAGTTTGACATACTCTCGAGGTACGCTTTTGGGTACGGCAAAACGAAACTACCATTGCACCCAGAAGCACGGGGCAACGCATGTACAACGTTGTGCTAGGAAAAGCACCATGGTTTTCTTGCACACTAAAACATCGTGAGTGAATGAGTGAGTATGGTTTTACGCCGCTTTTAGCAGTATTCTAGCAATATCACGGCGGGGACACCAGAAATTGGCTCCATACTTTGTACCAGTGTGAGGAATTGAACCCAGAAACTGACAAAAGGAAGCAGTAGAATTCATATACACATAAAACGTTAGACAATGTACTTTCAACTGGCGGCATGTGCAATGATCAGAGATCATGTAACCAACCATATCGTCATTGTCAAATCGATACATGTACGAACATATGATGACGTCGTGATTCATGCATGTGAATTCATCTGTAGAAACAACGACCAGGCATTCTGCATTTGCATGTTACAGGTATATCAGGTGACTGGAAAAACTCGTTCACAGTTGCACAGAGTGAGGAATTCGATCGAAAACAAGATCTGAAGATGAAGCAAAAGTAAACACGATATGGATCAGAGGAGTGGAGAGCCACATAGAAGTTTTTGGTTACAACAAAGCTATGTGGAAGAATAACTTGTAGATGTTGCATTTTGTATGTCGTAGTTGAAGCTTATATTTTACGTACATCACTGGTGAATGACGACATAACTGGATGTTGTCCAATCGTGTTACTTATTGTTCACGTTTCATTTCATTTCGTCTTTTGACATATTTAGTTAAATGAAAAGAATACACCTCGTTCATCCAAAGAAAAGAACTTCACTGTACGAAATACTGGCTTTCAAGACCGGAATGATTTGGAATTGAGAAGCATGCAATGTGTGGGATTTCTGAAGGGTAGTATCAGATCAAATTCAGTGAAATTCTTAATACCTATAGAAAGAGACGTAACCTCGTCGTACAGAGCGTCTGTCATTACGTAAATGTGTAATCTGGATTCATGCATGAGTGTCACCACGATTTCTCTTTGATTGAGACATATATTTTACAATAAACGTGCTCTCATAAGGACGTTCGATTTAGAGATCACAATTCACGCTGGTACTGAAACAATAAAGTGACAATATAACGTTCTTAGTTGTTTGTATTGTTATACCTTTCCATTAAGCTGGTTTTATAGTGCTAGCCCACTGAGATACCACGCCGCAGTGTATGCACTCTTCAAAACCCAAAACGGTATAGGTGATTTTGAAAATATTGGACTCATGTAGCTGCGGTAAACACAATAAAATATGCTTTAATAAATTTATTTCAAAAACGTCATCTTTGTGTGATTATGAACAGCTTTAGCGCCAAAGCGAAACAATTTAAAATTTTGCCCTTTTAGAAGTGTTTGAAGAAATGTTCGCCAAAACGTTACCCAAAAAACATGCAAAGCCAAAAAAGTAAGCGGAATCGATCAATATAGAAAGGCAAACGTTGTGTTTAATTTTGTCATTCGTGTTTGCCTGGAAAAGAGGAAATCATCATGCCACGACTGAGTGCCGCCAATCGAAACATCGCCATAGGCCGCCTTGAAGCTGGGGAGTCGCAGTCTGAAGTTGCTCGACGTTCATCAGAGCACCATATCTCGCCTTTGTAATCGTTTCCTGCAGACCAAGTCCGTTGAAGATCGCCCGAGAAGCGACCGTCCAAGGTTTACCCAAGTCCACGACCGCTACATCCGGGATGCTCACTTGCAGCATCGTCTTGCCACAGCCGTGGAAAATGCACCGCAGCCTTGGTTTGAGAACAATTCCAGACCAACCTGTCGGGAATCGATTAGGTGAAGTGGGTATTCAACCAAGAAGGCCAGTTCGCCCCTGTTTTGAGAGACTTCCATAGTCGAGTCCAGAACTGGAACCTTAAAAACTGGGTTGGTTTCTGGTTCAGTGAAGAATTACGATTTCGCCTTCAACGGCGAGATGAACAGCATGTTTACCGTCGGAGAAATGAACGTTTTCCCCAAAAAGTATTCGACAGGTCGGCAGATTCGGTGGAGAGGTGTCATGGTGTGACTTGGGATATCCAGCACACATCTGATTTAGTAGTCGTTCAGGGGAATTTGGCATCAAATCGGTATATCAACAAAGTTCTTGCACGTCACATGCTTCCGATTATGGACCAAAAAGGGAGAGTTGCTCCAGCATTACAAAGCTTCTTCACGTACAGCAGGCGTCAGGAGTTATAATTATGTGGATGAACTTCATTTCGGCATGATCTCTCATCCGACAATGCCAGGTGTGTTTTCATTTATCAAATTACGCACAATCTGTATGACATACATTTCACAATGAACAAGATACAAATACTGGTTTGGGGACGGAAATGTGTCGTTAATGTACATAGCCACAACCGCATAGTGCATTAATTTCGCTAGGGCTTTTCCTTGTGTCCTAGTCTTGTCCTCATCAACAGGCTGCAACATTGCTGTTGCGGAGTTTAGCAATATTTACTCACTCACTTACTCATTTCATAAAGAGACGGTTGTGCAATATAACGTACACGATAGTATTATATCCACAGCGTACGAAAACCTGTATCTAACTTTATTCTCATTCATTTATAAATTAACAACTTTTTGGGGTCACGGTTTGGCTGAACTACTGCCGATGTGACTTTAAATATCAACTCACTCACTCGCTAAAACCTGTCAAACACCCCTACAACGCAAGAGGTAATCTTCATTCATTGACCTATATATCCGGAAACGTGGTTGTGTCATACAGGCGGTGTGTTGCAGCTGGAACGGATAGAACACATTACAACTGTATTGAACGATCGTTGATCCTAGATTGTAAGTACATTGTAATGTTCACTGCTTGAAGACATCTTGTTTCGGACACTGTTATTGCCTGTTGAGCAGTATTATGCATTATGTACTATCGTGTAGCGATACGCAATTGTGCGCTGTCCCAAATAAGCTCACCAGTCAGACTAACAAGAGAATGTGCAGTGTCACGATTACGTTTCAACATGAGGTTAATTCCTTCCTTGTCTCAAGTCCTCTTCTCCAAATGTGACGAACATGCATCCTCAGACTGATAACTGTCAGTCGGACTGACTGGTATTCCTCAAATATGTGCAGTTTGTGCGACGGGTGCATGGGGGTACAATTACCCACCATCTGTCACAGCTGAGCAGTCCAATGACTCACATACATGCAACACATAGGAGGGATATTGTGTCGACAGTGTGTGAAAGCTTATAACCTGAGAAAACCGTTTTTAAAACTGCATTATATGGATTCTGATTGGTTAATTATAGTAATTCAGAGGTATATAATCACATTATACAGGTCTCGAATTTTACGTGCACAGTTACACAGTCACGTCTCGGTTATATGCCTTATTTTTGCTTGACCACCAACATGGCGAACACCACACAAACTACCGACGCATCGATGGATTACAGCGATTTGCTGTCGGAAATTACACATATGTTTTAAGATGGATTTAACGATGGTGAGGTAGACTCATTTCTTGCATAAATCGCGTACATATGTTATAATACATACAAACTCGCTTCACAAGCATAGAAACACGTATCAAGCGAACGACATCAAGGCATCGTCAGCTTTTTGAAGAAAAATACGTTTACCATGATTCCATGCTATGTCAAAAACGAGTAAGTGATTAACTGTTGCATAATTGTAATCGTTCGTGTTTTTTATTATTATTATTATTATTATTTATTCTTCCGCCGTATTTTGTAACAGAGCTACAGAGAGCACCGCTGGACAGAATGCCTTGACAAAAATCACCCAGATGCCCACCGAGGTGTAGATATCGCCCTTTAAAATCTCTAGGCTGTAGGCCCAATAGCAAAGGGCAGATAATTCAAAATTAATTCAAAAATTTCAATTTCAAATGTAAATATCTCCAAAACTAATGCTCCAATGTGTGCCAAAATTCTTGAGCAGATGCGCAATCAAAATGCCTACAATTTCGCCTGGGCGGCTCAAGTCGCTAAAATGCACCGTTTGGCCGCTATTTTGGATTGAAGTTTTGGGTTATGTTTTTCAGCAAAATGCTGACTACTTTCCTCCCAAAATGTGCTGCACTGAAACTTCAAGAGCTACGGCTTTCAAACTTTGCATACTTTGTGTCTATGCACCTTACTACACAGTAGCATCGTCAAATGTGGCTATGTGTATTTGATGGCCGCCATGTTGGACGCTACTTCTGGGCAAAAGTTGTCTTCAAAAACTTTCACGGGCTTCTTTGCCATTTTGTGCCAAACCAAACTTAGCACATACAACACTTTAAACGCTTGTTCTGAAGTGGCCTTTGGTTGTGGAACATTTTCTGTTCTTGGTCCTATGTCAAAAGACCCTGCAAGCGCTACGTCTTTCAAACTTTGAAGAGCGCCATAAAATTTACTGATCAAAACATCTGTTCAACATTATCCATGTGGATAAAACGTATGGGAGCTAAAAGGGAAAAAAACTGTTTGAGACGTGCCCCAAATGAAAGAAAAAGAGTGCCAAACAAACTGACCCTCAACTCCAGGCAGAACACGCGAAACGTCACGCAAAAAGTCTTCCAACAACGTACCAGTCATCCTAAATAATACTTACACTCAAAACCCCAAAGTTTGGACAGATTTAATAAAATAGGGACTTCTTTTTATCACCGACGGCCCAGGGATACATTGCCGAATGTGTCATAAGTTTCATCGACATTTACGGCACGGCAGATTACCCGTGCAAAGCATGCGACAGTCTGAAGGAAGGCGCAAAGACGATATCTCCTATAAAGAGACTACCACTGCAAAGTGTGGTCCACGTGCAGATATGGGAGACGATGTAAATTTCAATTGACAATGACGAGAGCTAGCGCTACACAAAATTAAAATACACTGCAGTAGAGGTGCTATTCCTTCATTGTAATTCAATCTTTTGTAAGGGGTATGTCTTTAGGCAGCTTTTAAAGATTGTCAATGATTGAGCGTTCCGGGTCAGGGTAAAAGTTGTAGCTGTGGTCTAAGGGGGGAAACTCTGGTCTAGCTGAAGTAAGCGCTAGTAAAATCGTTCAACAACGACCAGGCGCCGACTTTGCAATGCCCGAAGAGTAATACGCTTTTGCTAACAATTCGGTGGTGTTTGCATGGATTTTAAAACTTCATAGGTGACCTGTAACGAGTTTAGGTGTATTTCCAGTATATATACCTGCTCTCGATTCACGAATTCAGTTGCAACAGATCGAGTGTAACAGTGTAATGGATACTGATGCAAAACTACTGAAGTACCTTAACTGCTGTGTAATCACAAGTTCACTTGCGTGAGCGTGAGTGTGAGTGTGAGTGAGTTTAGTTTTACGCCACACTCAGCAATATTCAAGCTGTATGTCCGCGGTCTGTAAATAATCGAGTCATCACGACTTGTCAGCTACATGTGACGTACATTTAGATTCACATAATGTCACTCACAGTGAACCTTTCAAATTATTTAGTTGAGGCCACAAAATTTTCTGTTTCTCTGACTGTTTGAACAAAGGGTTCTTCTGTTTTGATATTCATGATACCTAAGTGATATTATTTAATGCACGAAAATAGGTTTTGTGATGAGTTTATCGAAACTTAATGACCTCCCAGTACTTCCAGTCGAAGAGCATTCGACTAGCAGTGATATGATTCATATTAACTAATACCGTTACTACATTCAAGAGATATGTGAGAGATGCAAAAGGCTCCAAAGAAGTAAACCCAAGGAGCCCTACATCGCTGCTCGCAGATATATTTTTAATGTTAAATTTATCACCAGATTTGAAGCCCATCCGGGGGATACATTGGCATCGAACGCCGACGAAAAGCCTCCCGTCTACATAAATATTGACAGTTCAGTTATTTATTCAAAGAAAACCGATATTTTTATGTAAAATATGTAAAATTCATTTAAAGCCGTCTAATATTCCCAACATGATATTTTTCTAAAAAGTATAAATGTCAAGAGCAAAGCGAATTAGTACGTGTACAGTCCGTTTGAGTCAGAAACGGACCGATGGATTGCAAATTTTATCATTGTACAAAATTGCCACATAAAGATAAATAGTACACATGTTTATCATTTACTAATAACCAACAGCTTTCTTTTATTTGAAAATTTTCCGGACTCCACCAAAAAGGTTGTTTAAGAAACTATCATCATTGAAAACGCAAAAGTTGTTATCTGTCGCGGCGGGGTGAAACCGCATAAACGAAACTGCCAGTCATGGCGGGGGACTTCTCAAAATCTATTCCGGGAGACCTGTCGGTTCCTCGTCCGTCGTAGTGTCATAGTATCGACTTAAAGGGATGACAAGTGGTGCCATAGTTGCCCGTTGTAAGCCATCCCGAGACCAGTAACCTTGTTCAATGATGTTAGCTACCTTGTTGACACAGTTTTGCCAAGTTTTAGTCGTGATTTTGTTAATGGATTCCCTCACCAAAACCTCTACGTCACGTAATCTAAAAGTTGATCTGGCAACATCTCCTTTGACAATACCCCATATCATTTCAATTTGGTTAAGGTCACAGTGATATGGTGGAAGTCGCAGAATATCGTAACCCTTACCTTTAATGTAACTGTCAACTTTGTAGAAAGGTTCACCTTTGTGGGTTTTTATGATCTCATATAGCTGAGGCTTTCGTTGCCTTTGAAGGCCGTGCGATCTGAAATTTGTCGAGCCATGATATCATATCACCTTTTCGACTGGTCAATTTCGGGGCTTTACTGTCGGGGTCCTGCACGCTGTGGTATGGGGCATTATCCATTACGATAAAAGACTTCTCTGGTAGAGCTGGTACCAACTTGTTTTTAACCCAATCAAGGAAAACCGCACCATTCATCTCGGAATGGTAGTCTCTGTTATCTGTGGACTTTGCCCTGAATACCAAGTCGCAGCCTGGGAGAAAGCCTTTGCTGGAGCAACAAGGATGGAGAATGATTAGTCTCTGTCCTTACCCTAGAGGCAGCTTTCTACTTGACCCCTTATCACCCCCATCGGGTACCCACTGACTGCTGACAGTGTGCAAAGCATTGACCCAGGTCTCGTCCAAGTACACTGGCTCGAACCCTTCCTCGCGCTTCTTCTTTATAACCCTGAGAAAATTATTTCTCAAGCGAAACGATATCAGGGCGTTTACAGAGAACTGACCTATTCTCCCCCGATATTTTCCTATAACGATACCCGAAAGAGTGTAAGAGTCGCCAGAGTGTGTACTTTGATACACTGAGGTTGTGTTCTTGCTTCAACTGCTTTTTTAAAATTTTCAGCGACATGTATTCGTTTTCAGAATAGAGCTTGTTGATAGACTGCCTTACAAGGTTCTTTTGAAAGTTGTCCAAATGTTTTAATTTGTGTGATTTTGACACGACCCCTACCTGCTTCGCATCACCCTCAGAATGTTTGTGTTCCAGAACATTTGTCAGTACCCTTGCTGATACTCCTAAAGCTTTTACTGCCCGCTTACGGAATTTATTAATGGCATAAAATGGTTAGCCCCTTTCGGCTTCAGCACGGAAAACATCGTACACTTTAATCATCAACTGTTTCACGTCAGCATTCAACTTCATTTATCATCAGGCATGTGTATCCCGTGCACGACGAGATAGTGGCTGTTCCGTTTCTGCGGTTTCACCCCACCACGACAGATAACAACTTTTAATGATGATAGTTTCTTAAACAATTTTTTGGGTGGAATCCGGAAAATTTTCAAATATAAGAAAGCTGTTGGGTATTAGTAAATGATAAACATGTGTACTATTTATATTTATGTGGCAATTTTGTACCATGATAAAATTTGCAATTCATCGGTCCGTTTCTGACTCAAACGGACTGTAGCTTGTGTGTGCACATGCCAAAATTGCTGAAAAATAGATACATATGAAAGTATATTTGCCGATTTATGCATAGACACGTGTTCTATTTCATGCTACAAATGTGGTCTTGGTACCCTGGCGATGTATTGTGAGAGGAGCAGATGAGTTTATAACTGCTTTAAACCATCATTGATCCTCGAGTGTAAGTACGCTGTAATGTTGATTACTTGCATATCTTATATTACTGACAGGGCCTGTTAATTGGTGGTATAATGTACCATATGAGATGTAATATGTAGTTTTATTAAGTGTTGTTGACGATGATCATACTGTCACGCACATAAAAAAATAAATAGATTGGGCAGTCTGACAGTGACGCATCTATATTTCAGTTTTAGTAATGAGGTGTCAAGTACGCAGTACACCTGGAGTGGTATATGTTCCAGGAACTAATTTATGCTTTGACGTTTGAAGTGAGTGAATGAGCGAGTGAATTTGGTTTTAGGCCGCCATTATCAATAGTCTAGCAATTTCACTTTGGGAACTCCAGAAACGGGCTTCACACATTTTAACCATGTGGAGACATGAATTCGCGTCTTTCAGCGTGACGAACGGATGCTTTAACCATCAAGCTACCTCAACCCCCTATAAAGTAGAAAGTAACGTCAGATGTTATTGACAACTCACACACTCACTTTAATATGTTATTCGAGATGGCGACGCCAGCGGAGAAAGCAACAGCAGCCGGGTTGAATGCTGACCTGGTGATGCTTGATGGGTTTGTGGAAGTAGAGTTCATGGTGGACAGGTTGAAGAGAGTAAAGGATCTTCCCATCCGCGATGATGACATCTTACTCTGCACATTCCCAAAGTCAGGTACTATCACGATGACATAGATATAAATAATAACATTGACTATTTATGCCTTCAAAGGACAGGTGAACATAAATCATATGTAAAGTCATCTGAAAAATGAATGGTTGCTAAAGATCTATTTATCTCACGATCCAATATTTCGACTTACCTCTGTAAAGCCTAGTTGAGTACTCGTGGAAAAGATGACTTTGATTCAGATCTGTGGCGTACCCTCACTATTACATTGCAAAACGATGGTTGAAAAGACGCACCATCCTTTCCACTCACATATTAACTAACACGTCAGTAAAGCATGATCATATTCTGTCATTTGATAACTTGCAACAAATATCACAGGAAGATGAATATCTGTTCTATTGAGTAATGGAATAAGACGATACACAAGTTAAGGTAACCTTGTTATGGAATTTGTTATGGCGATGAACAGTATTGTCTCAACCATCCTTTTATTTCCATACCTCTGAGAAAACATATTTGAGTTTAGATTACATTTCGCACATTGCATAATCAAATTTCTTTTGAAAACTCAAGACAATGTGTGAGAAATTAATGATCAAGTAGACTCCCAGTTTAAATTTTAATTCAAACAATATGCTTCTCAAATGTCATATATTTCCCCCCAATCATATTTATCAGACTATATATACAACTGCTTTTGAACACATCTGAAAATGTGCACCTTTTCAGGTATCAATTTCCATGGCATAATGGAGTTTATTTGGCAATCTCTCTTATTACTGACACTAAAGGTACGCACTGGACTTGGGAGATCCTCAACATGATCGTGGCAGGAAAGGCCGAGTACGCGAAACACTGGCAGAACTCAGCCTGGTTAGAATATAGGACGGAGGAAGAACTGGAGGCACTGGCATCACCAAGGATCCTCCACACCCACCTCCGTCCAAGGTATGAAACAAATCTTGATACAAATTAGCAAATGAGTATATCGGAATAGGAATATATTATTTTTCCAATGAACACCTTCAAGTAGAAACTACATGAACCTGTTATGTGTGAGTTAAAGTAAAAATGCTATTCACGTTTGTCGGTTGCTTTCCAACTGCAAGTCCAAATTCTATTAAACCGGTAAACCTTATAAACTACAGCCAACTACCCGAGACAGTATGGGACAAACGATGTAAAGTTGTGTACGTCAGGAGGAATCCGAAGGACTGCGTGGTGTCGTCATTCAGTCAAATGTCCAAACAGATCTGGAAGGACAACCCTACTGGCAAACCTAGTTATACTGGAACCTGGGACGACTTCATTGATCTTTACCTTAACGGATGCAGTAAGTGTCTATCATCAAGGGATGCGTTCCAACATGTATTATTGATGTTGTTGTATTGATAATGTTTACCACATAAGATATACATTTTGGGACACTTTGGAAGATTCTTACTGACGTCTCCACCCAAATATTACTGTAATAATAATCGCAACATTATTCAAACGAAAAGAAAGAAGTGAAAGTGTATATTTTTACACATGATGCAATGTACAGCACGAGTACCACAAACATCGTTATATTATATATCGTTATATTTACCACAGTATCATTAACATATGTCTAAACATACTTTGCTATATTTGTTTAAGTACCCATAGGTGCCTATTTCGAACACACGATTGAATGGACCAACATTTCTGAAGCCAAGAAAAACTTTGAAATTTGCAAAGTGCACTATGAAGACATGAAACAGGTACGCGTATAGACATGTGTGGTAAGATGTTACAGTATTTTCACTACATGATAGAGAGGTGCGGCAGGTCTGTATTGTGTGCACAGGCCTCTATATATTCTGTCTGAACGATTTTTGTAAATGTATAACGAATATCTGCAAATGTGTAACGAGTGCTGTATTACTTTTTCATTTGCTGTTCATCTAATGTTCAATTCAATGACATGATTGATTTATGGTATAAACAGGTACCACTGCTGGCCTTTTCTGTGGTATTACTACAACTGAAGTCTCAGATAGGTTGGGCATTGTCATGCGTGTAGAGCGTTACATTGTGCAGATGTTTCATGTCAGTACCTTACTTTCAATTGAAATCCGAACTCTACATTACCACAATAAAAGGTTGTGCCAATCCTACCACGACCAGGTAAATTATCTTCATTCTTTTTGTATGACAAATATTTCATTGGCATATCATTCTGAACACGTTTTATGCGTTTACCTATTTTGTTATATATTTCTAATTAATCAGTCTGTTTAATTTGAATTTGATGTTCACAAAGCTAACAAAACCTACAAAAGAGTGTCTAAATCGTGGCCTCAACGTAAGCAACTCCTTTATGTTATGGATAACTTTTACATCTCTTCACTTTCACTGAAATTACTAACCGATTGCAGTCACTATAACATAATGTGAAAGTACTGTACAAGACTGGCTCCCTCTAATATGTGCAAACTCTGTTCAACAATGAATACCAGGAACAAACAAATATTGTATGCCCTTATTTCCAGAATCCGTAAAATAGTGGTATTCAGCAAAGAATGGTATTCACTTTCAAAATAGTCAGAAGCAATTTGGCAATGTATTAAATTCCCTTATATGCCTTTTTTATATACTGTGGCATTTTGCTTGATTTCTCAGTCTGTAAATACTCTTCACATGCAAATATAGTTAGAAGTTTATATGGCACTATGTAACATACTCTTACAGGAAAATATGTATGTTTCTATAAACGCAGTGTTTGGGGAATGTAGTAGCAATCCTGTTCAGATCTTGGCATTCATTCGTTGTGTGAAATACTGTCACAGTCTTGTAAATGTCTGTCTGTTACCGATTTCAAAATATGGTCTCTTTTGAATGATGACCAGGGTCGTCAAGACTAGGAAGACTGCCCCGAGAAGATGCACACATACGCAAGTAAAGGTCTATATAATAAAACTATAGAAGGCATAGGTCCTGTAATATTATCATGGAATAGTTTCCTTTGCAGGATTGCGTTCGGGAAATACGAAGAATGGCAGATTACTTGGGTCGACCACTGTCGGATAAAACATACCAGGACATATCCGAGGCATGCTCCTTTACGAATCTCAAGCATGCTAACGAGAAACTCAAAGACCAGACCTACCACTTTCACTGGCAAGGTGATTCAAGTGGATACTTCAGAAAAGGTAATGGGGCAGTTCAAGGAGAAAGCTGAAGTATATGGCAAAACTTCTATGAATAGTTTGTATTCTTTGTGTGTCGCCGATGTTTCAAGAAATAACGTCAACATCAAGCCAATCCACACTGTTTTATTTACAGAATTGGTAAGTTGGTATGAGACATATTTATAAAAATAAAGACATATTGTGTTACAGGCACAACTGGTGATTGGAAGAACTGGTTCACGGTGGCCCAGAGCGAGCGGTTTGATAGAGTATACGAAGAAAGGTTAAATGAAACATTTCCATATTAACATCGTTGGAAAGAATGAATCATGTGTTTAAATGTACAGTAAACAGTTTACTCACTAGTATGGAAATACCTCTCTCTACAATACCGCAGATGCTGTTGTGAAAGACAAGCATCTTTGTCCTACAGTCTATGATTGAAGTATGTAAACAGATGAGGTTTTGATCTTGTTATCGGAGGGTTATGTGATGACTAGTTTTCTGAGGCGTGATTGATCGTCGACCTTCGCCAGTTTTATATCAAAGATGAGGATTCCCTCACCTGTACATAAATGCTGTAACCATGTCTCGTTGAGAAATTATGATACCCGCAGACTTGGAGGTGCCATACTTATGCCATATTGCCCTGTATACTAGTAGTATTAATGGTGCCCTATACATGTCAACACGTAGACCAGTATTGTTCAAGGAATTGGTATTTATACATTCTCGTAAACTGAGGTCCAATCATTGTGTTACCCAATTAATCTTAAATAAAATTGATGTGAATGTTGTCCGCAATACTAAATCTGTCCTTGAAAGTTCCTCCAGTTAGAATAGGGTCTGCATGGAGAGCAGTGGTCGGTGTTTTGACCACGGTACTTGATTACGGCTTGGTCTGTCATCCGACAATGCCAGAGCTTTTGAGACCTATTAGTCTGTTGTTTTAAGCCGCATTCAGCAGTATTCTAGCTATATGGAGTCTGGATGAGACAACCCAGTGATCAACAGAATGAACATCGTTACACAATTTGGATACAATGACATTTGTCAACAAAATGAGCAAGCCTGACAACCCGACAACCCGATCCCGCTAGTCTTACATGGATCCTCACAGGTTTGAAATGTTGCAGAGTCTACATTGCATACATTTCACAACGTACATATACACAAATTGTGTGATTAGGTCGTTCCCTACGTCTTTGTCTTGTCCTCCATATGGATAAATGGTTGTACAATATCATGGTAGTAGTGTGAAACCTATTTTCAAACACGCCCTCCTCGCGGAGTGTGTGGGTGTGGGGTGGGTGTGGGGATTAAAACCCATTTCAGCTCTAACAGGGCTAGTTACATCATCGGCAGTAGTCGTGGATGTTTAAAGAAACTGCACGAGCACTCACTTCACCTGGGTTATCCGTTTCCCTGTGTCAGCGAAATGAGCAGTGTCAAGTTCACCCTGTTTGATCAGATCCTCCATCAATGCAGGAGGAATGTCCCCACCCAATCAAACTGGAACCGAATACATGTACATTACAAACGCATTGAATGATCACTTATCCTCGAGTGTAAGAACAGTATGATGCTGATTGTTTGAAGACAGTCTTTTAGCGACACTGTCATTGTTCATTCTCATCTGCAGGTGATAAAACCACTGGCGGTGCTTCTATTCTCGCGAGGCAGCTTGTTATCCATAGCCCTGTTTTTCTTAAACGCAACCATCAGGTTGTTGCTGTCCGACTGACTTTACTTTAAGTTTCTTGAGGACTTCTTTTCAAACAATAATTTATGCATATGTCATGATGGATCTGTCACATATTTACACCCTGGATCGGGAACTTATTCTGCACTCGATCTCCATATATTTATAGTGAGTGAGTGAGTTACAATTTATAATGACTTTGGCAATATTTCAGCCATAAGGTGACTAAAAAGGATCATATGTACACAATTTATAATGTTATATCTTAGAATCTGTCTGTTAAGGACAGTAAAAGAAGTAGAATATCACAGTTAATGATTTAAAACTAGCATGTGACTTTAACGTATATACTAGTTAGGACATTACAACACCAAACAAAATACATGCTATAGATCACCATCAACTGAAGGTAGATCACCATAGTAGGGACCATGGGGACTTAAATTGCCTTTGCTACCTGCTTGGACCACAGCTGGATTTACACCACCCCCTCAGCCTCTGGCGATGGTAGGGAAATTTTGCCATAATTCAAAATAACAAATAATCTACGTTTAAAAAGCATGTTTGAGTGAAATTCACTTTGAGAGTTTTGCGACTTATAAATATATAACGAATTTGAATGGTCAGTCCACGAATACCTGTGTGGAAGTGACACTTTCAGCTATAAACCCGAATTATTACACGCGTACAACAAGGTGGAATTTTAATAAGGCCAACTAGCCATTATTTCAGGCACTGTGTGCTGACAACTTGAAATCTGACGTTTTTGTCAAAGATCCGGATCCGTAAAAAAATATGTATATTTGTTCAGGTTGTGTTCCTGTGCAACAATAAAAAATACGGAAATGTAGATGCAAGAGGGTATATCTGCATAATCACACGGAGCCCGTGACCTGTATCACTGCCCCTAGTGCGGTCTTATAATAGTGCGGTGTGTTGGGACAGGACCGGAAGATCGTTGACGTTCGCTGATCTTCAAATGTAAGTGGGTCGTAATGTGGATTACTTTGAGATAGATGGTGCTCTTTGTGAACTGTGTTATGTTGTATTATGTGACTGCTAATGGAGTACCTTTTGGTAGTGTTCATATCAAATATACTTGGTTAATCTCACAGTGATCCTAAGTGTTGCATAGTCATTGAGTAGTGTAATGTTTCGTTATGTATTGCACATTTCATAATATTAAAAAATGGTGCAAAGTTATATATGATTGTACGACACAACCAGCGTTTTTGACTAGAATAGACATCAGTTGTTGTTGCTGTTGACCAGTATAGCAGTTATGCATGGGCATACACAGTGGTAGAAACTGGCAGGTACTGGCAGAGAAGCACAGTGGTGTATAATACGAACTAGGAGGAGTATTGAGTCGGCAGTGTGTGAGAGCTGGTATCTTGAAAGGGTAGACCTGACTACTGAACCGATCGTTGACATTTGAATACACTGTCGTGGTGACAAGTTCTGAAGTAGTCCACGAGTGACAGACTGTTCTTAGAATTGATGCACAGTATAACCAGTAAGTAATAGAGACCTCTGATGTTATTGACAAGCCGAAGACAGATGTATTGAGTGAATAGTACATATCGGGTGTTATTGACGAGCTTCGCAGAAATATATTGACGCATAATATATGTCGTTCACATCGGATGCTATTGAATATCCTTGTCAGATACAGCAGGTAGTACACATTGATGATGTATTATCATGTAAAATGATCCGTACGCATCGGGTGTTATTGACTATCTAAGCAGTGATGTATTGTCATGTAAAATGATTAGTACGCATCGGGTGTTATCGACTATCTAAGCAGTGATGTATTGTCATGTAAAATCATTAGTGCGCATCAGGTGTTATCGATTTCCCTGTCAGGTTTCGGGGATCACAGCAAACTGTCTAGTCGTACAACAAGTCATGATTGTTTAATTGTGTCGTAAAGATATATGTTGAAAGAAATCAGGTGTGAATACATGTCGTGTATTGCAAGCTTTATGTAATTTTATTGCAAGTTTCTCTTGTAGACCTTTTGTCGGCTTGTACATTTATATTTTATCACAATATGCATACACATGTATTCTTTGTATGTAATATATGAGACACACGTTAACAAATTCTCTCTCTTATATCATTGTGTGAGGTTTAAATTTACAAAACATCTATGACAATGACATACTGTAAAGAAGAATTTACTTTCATACTTTATAATCTTCGACGAAAATAGCGGTTTTGCCGATACATTTCTAGTGTTTACGAATTATTTTAATGAAAGTACTATAACGCCAGTCTGTGACTAGCACAAAGCACATTCATAGCATTGCACTTTATGTCATACAGATTTAATGCAGAAAAACTACGTGACCATACAAACATACATATACAAAATGTATACTACATATTCCTTGCATAGACATAAAACAAAGAGTCACGTGATAGGGCGTCATCAAATTTCCCGAATAGAACGTTCGGTATCTCAACTGTTCAATGTAGTGGCTGGTCATATGTTATCAGCGACCAATCGTATCATGAGATACCTGTCACAGAGAAAAGGACAGGTGACGGGGCGTGGGCGAAATTTCTGAAGAGCACGTTTGGTCACTCAGCAGCTTGGATAGAGATTGGTTATTGGCTATATCCTTGACCAGTCGATATGCTAGGTTTAGGCTTTATCAACTCAAGCTGTCATGTAACAGTTTGTGTATTGTAAAGATACACACTGGTATCTCAACTGTTCAGTATAGTGGCTAGTCATATGTTATCTGCGACCAATCGTATCATGAGATACCTGTCACAGAGGAAAGGACAGGTGACGGGGCGTGGGCGAAATTTCTGAAGAGCACGTTTGGTCACTCAGCAGCTTGGCTAGAGATTGGTTATTGGCTATATCCTTGAACAGTCGATATGCTGGGTTTCGGCTTTATCAACTCAAGCTATCATGTAACAGTTTGTGTATTGTAAACATACACACTGGTAACGATGTATGAAATATACACATAAGACAAATAGGAGTAGATAGTCAGTTTATTTGTCCTCATTTTAGTGTTTTTCGAAAAGTAAAACAAAGCGATTAAAATCCAACCACTGAGTAGAGGTAGTATTTATTTTCATATACATTTTATGCACACAACTTGTACATAAAACATAATGGTTTGCTGTACATGTAAATATAATCTTCACCTTGATACGAATGACTATCCAAACTAGAGTACACGCATTACAGAATTCACGAGGTGACACTATACTGAATTATTGTAGTGTATAAACTTGCAGTTGACACCCCCACCCACAATATTTATGAAGGTGGGCGTGCCTGTATCTTTACTGAATGCAAACGAGGTTCATAAGATTACAGATGTGCATGCATGTATAAACATCACAGAGAGGGGCGTGACTCCATAAAGCAAGATGTCCAATGATATAACAGCGCATCTGTTTATTTTACACATGTCACGGGACAAACCTTTCAACAAGGACGTAACTACATATGCATTCTACCAGAGGCTGTTATTTCAAGGTCGAAAGAGGCTTTCAATTATCTCATTACTGTAATCTGCTTGAATGATTATACGCATGTGTATCGATACCGT